AAAAAAAAAAAAAAAAAAAAAAAGGCGTGAGAGGCACGTGCATAATGGCCATAATGATTCAGTTTTGTCCCAAGACTCTCAACAAGAAAAGAAAAACTATGCAATAAAAAGGTAAAACTCATTTAAATCCATTCTGGTTCTTCTTACTATTCCCTTAGTGCTCTATGGACACTACGATGTTGGCAAACATCATGGCCTGACCCCCACAGCACTTAGCGGTCCAATAATTTTTTCCCCGAAACAAATTTATATCATAAATGTGGGGGGCGTAAATTTGTGCATGTGTCGACTTCCAACATTCATTTGCAATGCCATGTTCACTCCTTTTCCATAAAGATAAGCTTGTTCAAACACCTTATCATCTGTTGTTTTCCTGATTTGTAGAACAAACTACGGTTCTTTTTAGGCTGAAAATGACCTTAACATTTCCTTCCAAGTTCGCTGATGAATTCAAAATTTGAAATAAATGCCAGAAAAGCAAATATTATACACCTTGCAGGCTAGCACCCATTTATCACATAATATATATGGACAGGAATGAAAGTCCACAAAGTGGGCTAAGAGCTAATACTTTCTTAAGCTGACATTTTTTTAATCACTTAAAAAATTCTCTTAACGTATATATAATCATGACACATGCCTAACTGACTATAGTAATTGTTATTTAGAAAAATCTTGTATTGGTGTCACTTTCTAGTTTTCATACACAGAAAAATGGTGTTGACAATGACATTCAATTCAATTTCAAACCATGATTTCTGGCGTATTTACATAAAGGAATTCATAGAATTACCGTTAAAAAAAATAAAGAAAAGAAAAACATAGGAGGGTTCAACAACATGACACGGGACAAGAATCTAACATATTCAAACACACACTTATAAACAGATGAAAAAAAGAATCAACTGCGTGATAAATTAATGCAAGTCGGAACAGAGAATAATAATTGAATGAAGACATAATATTTTAGTTTTAATCATAGCTCAATTGAATCTAGAGGACACATGTGCAAATTCAATGCATGTGGAGATGGAATATGCAATGCTAACATCCTGGATGTGCAGAAGATAGATTCCAACATGATGCTAATTATGACATAAATATTCATTATTTTCAATAATCTTTCTAATCTTGAATCCTTTCAGCACTTCTATGCTCTAATCAGATTTATGTTACATTGATTATTCCAAATCAAAATAACAAACAGTTTCACCCTGAGAGAAAGATTATGCCGCAAATCGGAGGAGGCGTTTTCTTCAACAAATGTAAATGATGCAAATCAATAAACGTATCTAACAGAAATTTTGATTTTCCCTGATAAAGGCATGAGAAAACTACCTGGGAATGGAACTCGATAGCCACCAACCGAATGGATTATGAAATACTGAAAAAAGGAAGCAGAAAATAAAAAGTAAAAGAGCATAATGGAGAAAAGAAAAAAAAAAAAAAAAAACAATTTTGAAGAAATAAAAGAAAAAAAGAAATGAGACGAAAAGAACCATTATTACTGTCGTGTCTGTCCTTGTCTCGCGAGCGAGGGTGACGAGGTAATCTTGGCACTTCTTTGGAATAAAATGCCCTTTAAACATTCTAATTATTACGGTTCATAATCTCTTCAATATCTCGCGAATGATTAACGATATGGGAAAAGCATGAAAGAGAAAGAGAGTTAGGAAAAAAAAAATAAGAGTTTTGCTGCAGTTGAAATATAAAGTTATTTTTGTTGTTAAATATATTAATAATGATATACATTATATGGTTTTAATATTTACATCATATTGAAATGGTAAATTCATCTAAAATTTATAAATAATTATATCATAAATTATTATAAAACTCAGTTTTATGATTTTTACTTTATAATACAAAATAATATTTCCAATAATTGAAATTAAAAAAAAACATTTATTTAAAAATATATAATTTACTGGAAAATAAAATATTATTATTAATTCCCAACTTAATTACGATTTGTTTAATTCATATATTATATTTTCACATAACATATATATGTAATGTATGTATTTTATTTCAATTAATTTAATTATTTTTTATACTTTAAATTATTCAGAATATTATTTATAAGCTGAAAATATTACGAAAATAAAAATTAGTCTTTATTTGGGATATCTTTGTAACATAATTAAATTGTTTTATAATTTCATATTTTAAATTTACAATAACATTCAAATTTAAGTTTAATATTAAATATTGCTGTAAACTATTAATATTTAATATAATATAATTTAATAATCTTACATTTAATTAATAATGATAAAAATTTATTTAAAATTAGGTCTAAATTGCTTTTCCTTCTTCTCAACTTTCCAAAAGATAAAGAGGATTTTTTCTTCTCAACTAAATTCTTGAAATTAGGAAATAAGGGAAGCTAGATTTTGAAATTAACTTATCAATTTTTCCAAGATAAAAATGGGTCAAGTTTAAAGCCAATAAAATATGCTATCTTTAAATTGGCTAAACTCAGAATATCAAAGAAGAATTTATAAAAGAAAAAGAATTCATCAAACATTATATTGTTCATGAAACATTACAAATCAAGATTGATTGGAATAATAATCAAGTCCAATCATTACTCAGACAAATTCAAAAGACACTACAATGAACAAGAAATAGAAACGTAATTAATAGTACAAGTTGTTTAATTATCTTTCCCTTTTTTATCTTCACTTTCCTCTTCACTAGTGTCATAAAATAGATCATCTTGATTGACGAATTTTCCATCAAGTACATCTTTGTCAATGTGAATATCAATGAGATTGGCCCTTAGAACAACCAATTTAATTTGACAAATGTCTTTAGCAAAACCTTTTTTGTCTTCAATCACAACTTGGTGTTGTGTCAAGAAGTTCATTATTCAAGTTTTCATTGGTCAACTTAACTACTCCTAACTCCTTTTTTAGGTCAACAATTTTTTTCTCATTGGTAGCTATAACATCCTAATATACTTTATTGTTTTCCTATGACACTTTGACTTTATCTTCAAAAACTTTGATATTGTTCTTAGACTCTTTTATCTTATCTTAAAATTCTTTGGTGGTCCTCTCTTCACAAGATTTAACCTTAATCTTTGTTTCATTTTCTATTATTTTTAACTTGTCCAACAACTTTTCAACTTTTGTAGAGTAAGATTGGTTAGCCTTAGTAGCAACATTGAATGACTTTGTTGTTTCTGCCAAATTTTTCTTACTCTCACTTAACTTAACACTTAATCTCTTGAAGCGAGCATTCTATGCCTTCATCTTGCCCATTTAGGCAATATTTTTCTCCCAATTTTTCTTCCAATGATCCACAATAGCAATGAATTATTGTTAAAACACTTGTACAAAATCTAACCCCTCAACCGGATTGACCTTCTCAGTAACTACCTTATTAGCAGTGAAAGTTGGATCTTCCTTGTAAAAATCTTTTGTAGTAAGGTCATGATTCCATAATGATGCTACATCAAGAGATATACTTACATGCTTTAATCTTGTCAAGAGATGATTAGTATCAAATCTTAGGTAAATACACCTTGTTTGAGTTGTAGGTCCAACCTGAGAACTTGATTGTTAGACTGAAGGAGTTGTAGCTCTAACTTAAGAACTTAATAGTTGGACTAAAGGAGTTGATGGTGGAACTTGAGAACTTAATGGTTGGATAGGTTGATCAACCAAAGAGGATGGTGTTGGAATAGAAAAACCAACTATACCTCTATCTTTCATCAATTTAGTTGATTTTGCAATATCATCAACAAAGTTATGTAAAACATCTTGAGTTGAAGGATTGACTTTCATCTCAACCATCTTCTCATTATCATATGTTGCATTCTTGGTAGTCTTCTACTTTCTCCTTTGACGAAGGCGAAGGTTACTCTAATTTTTTTGATCATTTGGAATATCTTCTTCTTCCATATTGAACATGGTCTTTAACTCATGTCATTTCCTTTGGCCTATGATCTCTGAAAATAAAGAAAAATAACAACAAAGAAAGAAAACTTGTAATTGCAAGTACTCACTTTCTAAATAATTGTGAAGATTTTTTGACTTCAAAAGTGAAAAAACAACTTTACTTTCCAAAGGTCAAGGTAATTATTGCAATTTACTTATATCTTCCTCCTTAGATGGAGTCAAAACAATACCCTTAGAATCATTAAATTTCAAAGGTTGGGATTGTCAATAAAATGGGAACTTAGGTTTTCCATTTAGATGAAAGATAGTGTCTAACTTAGGATCACCACAAATAAGTTAGATTCTAAAGAATTCTTCCTTGAAATTTTTGTAAGATTGAGAAAAAAAAATTGGAAAAGTCCATTTGAATTTGTACCATTCAATGAAACCCAACCATATGGTGGCTCTCTAAGTTTCAATTGATAAAAATGCATAATTTGGTCAAGGTCAATTTGATATTCAAGAATGAACATAATTTCCAAAAAAAAAGACACGTTCTTTAGGTCAAATAGGTTCAACAAAAATCTGATTTGATTAGAACGATGAACAAGTTGTCACTTGTTTCTAAAGTAAAGTTAACCTACCTTTATATTTATCAACAATACCTCTAACCCATTCACACTTAGACATTGAAATCAATGGATGAGAGTCTTTTTCATTATTTTCATCTCTTTTTCGCTTCTTACTATCATTATCATCAATATTTGTTTTTTCTTCAAATAACACATTTTTCTCTTTTCCGATCTTACCCTTACCCTTATCTAATTTCTTAGAGACAACTAACCTAACAAGGTCATAATAGATAAGAAGAGGATGAACAATAATACCTCTTTTCTTTTGTGCTCGATATTTCTAAATGAGAATAAAGTATATTAAATTAGGAAGAGAAAAACCATAGTACTTGGAATAATGGACAGAGCTTGAAAAACTTCAAGTTCCAACAATGGAGGATACAGAGGACGAGAAAGAAGAAAAACAAAGGAGGAATAAAAATGATAGACGAAAGCGAAGAAATATGAAATGAGTAAAATGACATTTGTAAAAAGTAAAGAAATATTTTTCATTATTAGTGTAGAAAAAAAAAACTCAAATGGAGCAACTATTAATGAAAAACTTTATCATTTCAAAGAGTTACAAGGATGAAAAGACACATCTCAAAAATCCAAAGGTCATAAATAAAAGAAGAGATGAAATAATGTCCTTAAATGATTACATCTCTTAGAATATGAAATATTTTTTTTATAATTAATGATTATTAAAAATAGCACATGAGCTATGCGCATACACATAACTAAAATATTTATTACATGTCAATAAAAAGACTTATTTCACTCTTACATAGTTTAGAGTTTGGGAAACTTATGTAATAACCCTATTGATGATGCAAGCTTGACAATATACTCAACTAAGTGAGTATAATGACATCAAACTTGGTTAAATTGCCTCATATTACATATATTAACTACATCAATATATAAGCTCGACTATATTATCAATATATTGAGTTGACATGTTGATCTCTAACTCGAATAATTTTATCATATTATAATTGTAATGGTTATAGAATTAAAGAACATATACAATTAGCGAAGACTGGTATGTATAATAATATATGTTAGAAGATGAACAAATAAACTAACTTGATTGTCAGAGTTTCTTTTATAGACATATCCAATATACTTTAGACAAAGATTGAAGATAATTTGATTCAACATTTATAGGCAAGTAAAGAAAGAGGTCTCACAAAATAACTATTTCATTTAAGTTTATTATAGTAAGGACAAAAATCATTAATTTAAAAGAATGTCAGTACATTTTTGAAGAGAAAAATATTTTAATGTGTAACAAATTTTAAAAAATAATCAATTAAAAAAATTTAAATATAAAAGATATATTGTTTATCAATAAATTACGTAAGTCTTAAAAAAATCAATAAAATATATATAATAACCAAATGTAATGAGATAATTTACAAAAAACAATTAAAAAATAACATTATCCAAATAAAATGTGGAGATAAAATAAAGATATTCTTTTATTAACAGTTGCAGTAAGTATACTCTCATTTCTTGGTTATCTATTTATTATGCAGCGAATTTTTTTTTTGTAAAGTTGATCAAAAAATTCAAATATTAATATTTTTTTTCGTCCCTGGAATATCCTGTCGATAGTAATGATTAATGTCCTCAGAGGCACCTCAAAAAATGAGATAGCTGGCCCACGATTCAAAATATTAATGTATTTGAATCTTATATTTAAAAAATTAAATGAACGTTTAAATCAATTATAACGTGTCATTAAGGGAACCATAGAAAACAAAGTGTAGGATCTATGGTTTTGGTTTGACCAAAATAGGAAAACAATGAAGCAAATACCTAAAATCATATTTTGCATGTCAACTGTTCCATACGATATCAACGTGGATCATTCTCATCCACTGCCTTTTATTATTTTCAGTAGGCACGTCTTCTCTGCCGCTCCGTCATTTGGATAGAGAGAAAAAAGAAAAAAAATTTGTTGTATTTTTCATTGTCTATAATTCTCTAGAAAAAAAAATGAAACTCGTATAAACATTTATTTCTTATAAATTTTAGTTTTATAAAAAATTATAAACTTCGATTATTATCTCACTATTTTTTATTTAATTATTTTTTATCTAATTAATTAATTTGTTAGATTATATATAAAATGTGTGAGAATCCCTCTTATTTTTTTTAATTAAATGTATTAAAATATTTGTTTTTATAAATTGGCATAATATTTAATGACGCTGTATTATTATATAATTTTTAATAAATTTCTGTTAAAAATAAATACAACATTAAAAAGATTAAATTATGTTTTTTATCTTCTAAATCTAAATTAATTCAATTTTTTTGAATATTTTTCTGATTAATTCAAGATATTAAATTTGTCTAACAAAATTTATTTATATAAATTATTTTAAATATTCAAATCAAATATATTATAAATATGATAAAAATATTTTTTTAAAATAATTTAATTTTATATTATTTTTTAGTTGTTTATGATATATCTTTTTAGATTAAAACATCAATTATATTTCATAATTTGGATTAAATATTATAAGTTTTACATCTTCAATCAATAAAAAATATTCAAAATTATATTGTAAAATTAAAAATATTTATTATTTTAAAAAGATTAAATTAAGTCAAATAAAAAAGATAATAAAAAAAAGAAATATTTTAATAGATAAAAGAGTAAAATATAATTTAATATTTAAAAAAAATTGTAGGTAAAATTCTGGGAACGTGTTTGCAAGTTAGAAAGTAGAAAAAGACAGTTGATCGACGTGGTAGCATGGATATGAAACACGGAGATATGTACGAAAGAAAGAAGTGGCAAATTCAAAATACAAGTTATGAAAGGTCCTATTATCCATTGTGTTTTGCGGTGGAAGAAAGAAAAACTCACTCATAAATCATAATAAAACCCTTTTCACCGTTTCTTCATCTCTCTACTTTCACAACCTCCCGTTTCATAATTGGAATGAAAAGTAAAAAATAAAAAATCACTTTCACTTCTCTTCCGTTTCACCCTCTTTTTTTTTTATGCAAAATGGCCTAATTCCCTCTTATCTGTTATCCTACAATACACTTTTCAGTATCTGCTTCCATTCCATTTCTTCCTTCAGGTCAGTGAATTATTGTGATTTTGTGTTTCATTAATGTTTATGCGTCTTGTGTATGTTGTATATTTCTCATATAACGGTGTGTCTTCAATTGCTAATTGTTTAAGTACTTATCCTAACATAGGGTTGTCAGAACTTGGAATTGCTCTGCGACAAACTTGCTATATCATGTGGGTAGTTTATGAGCGCATGTTTGTGCCAGAGGATATGTAATGTAACGATAAGTTTTAAGTTTTAACAACATGGATAAAGAATTGGAGGTTGGTGGATGTGTGCAACATCAAAGCAAAGATGATGGACATTCACTAAACCCTCAATTCCCCAAAACATTAAAACCCCAAGAATATAGTGACCTTCCACTAGGTAAGAATGTGCTTGAAGCCATCAGCCATGTTGCCGTGCGGGAGCATCTGCATCCAAGTCTCTTTTCGGATGATGCTGGTGGCATGGTTGAAGAATTAAAGGTGAAAAGTTACAACGGTACTAACCTGGTTATTGGTACTTCCAACAATCCAGAGCTTTTGCATAATAGTCAGAGTCGATGGCGGCATAATTATCAGCTGGTTGGTGATTCAGGCATGGGAAGTGATTGCATAATAGCCAGAAATAGTCTTCAAGCTACATCTAGTGCTTGGGGGGATATATTGGCTAGAAGATCAGTCAATGATGATCAGGGTGATGTCATGCAGCACTTGTCCAGTGATGTGCATAAAGCTGCACTTAAAGAGGATGAAGGTGATGCTCGTGAAGGAATACAAACAAAAATTACAGATAAACCAGGATTTGCAGAGTACCTTATTAGAAGTACATCGAAGGGAAAGGGTATTGTATGTAAAGGTCCATCTTCTAATGCATTATTGGGCTATGGTTCAAAGACTGCAAAGTCTCCTCATAATGCTACAGTGCCAGGATCCGGTGAGTCTGACTGTGATGGTGTGACTTTGAGAGAATGGTTGAAATCTAGGCACCACAAAGGGAGCAAAACGGAGCATTTAAGCATATTCAGAAAAATTGTGGATTTGGTGGATGGTTTTCACTCCCAGGGAATTGCAATGCACAATCTTTACCCTTCTTATATTAAATTGTCACCATCAAACCAGGTTATGTACCTTGGGTTGCCTGATCAGAATCAGACCTTATATAGTGTTGTAAATTCTGAAGTTCTTCAGCTAGAGAATTCTTTTAATAGAAAAAGGCTGTCAGAGAAGGTAATTTCTCCTCCTAAGTTGCGGTCAAAGAAACATAAATTCAATGAAAATGTTAGAGTTTCTGGTGATTGGAGTCAATGCCCTCCAAGGACCGACTTGTATCTTCAAATTGCCAATGATATTAAAATCAATGCAGTGGGATCACAAGATATCCAATATTCTGAACATAATATTTGGAGATTGTCTCGCATCCCTCACATATCTAATGCAGGTCAATTGCAATTGACTTCTTTAAATGAAAGATTGGAAGATAAATGGTATGCAAGTCCTGAGGGTGGTTGCGCAACATCATCAAATATCTACTGTCTCGGAGTCCTTTTCTTTGAGGTGCGTAGCCTAGTTGATGGATACCCTCTTTTTTACATTTATTCGATGTTCATTTCCTCTGTTTCATCGTTGAGTTCTCAAAATTGATGTGTTTCTAAATAATATGAAGTACACATGTAAGAAACATGCTTCTGTCTGTTTTTTTTAAGGTGGGTGGAGGGGGTATGTCTCCCCTTCTTCTGAGAGTTAGCTTACAAACATCCTTGCAATGGGACACTGACCCAGTGTCACTCTACCCTTTCTCTATAAAATTTATGAGATGTTTCTGGAACTAAAGTTTGATGAATCTTTTGATCTGATTCTAACTTGAAATAACTTATTGAAGAGTTTACTTATGCTTGTTCAGTGTCAACTGTTGATATATTTTTTTTTAAATCATTAAAATTAAGTAAATAATGAGACAATCGACCGGCAATTTACTGTTTGTTTGGCTGATTTCAAATTCTGTCTTTTATAATTTACTTTTTGTTTGCTCTTGAACCAACTCTAATGTATATTGCTATATAGTCTTTATTTTGAAACATTTATATCCCTGATTTATACTGTCCATTTCTCAGTCATACATTAATCTTGTCCTCTCATTTGTATCAGCTATTTTATAATGTTTTGGTATGATTTGAACTGGATGCTGAATCTTTAACAAGCTAGATAGAGAAAAGGATGCTACTTCCTCTTTTAGAAGAAGTTTACATTGTTTTTTTTGTTGTTGATTATAATTATTTCCTTAATTTTAGTCCTGATTATTAGCCTATTTTTGTAATCATTTCCTTATGTTTAGTTTTCTTAGCTACCGTTATTAGTACAATGATTTTAATTTAACCCAATTTTGTTTGGATCAACTAGTGTTTTTTTTCCCTTTTTGATCTAGGATTTATATATAAAAATGTACCTGTGAATATCAGTGGAAAATATTCATTCCATTCAACTTCTGTGATCTGTTTTATCATTTGTAAAATGGCACCCCATGTAAATTAAAAAACAGAGCTCTTTAATACTGGAAACCTTCTTTTGGTCAAGTAAAATCGAATACTTGTTATAACAAATTTAATCCATTAATTGTTTTGACAGACCTTTGAATGATCTGATATTCTTTTATTAAATACTATTTCTTAGTCAATTTTTACTGAAACAGTACAGTAGGATAAGTTTACATAAACTTTAGGACTGATTATATTTTAGGTCAATTATTTCAGTTACTTAATCATTTTGAATCAGAAAAGGCACATATTGCTGCAATGTCTGATCTTCGCTGTAGGATCCTTCCTTCAGTTTTCCTATCAGAGTATCCTACAGAAGCCGGATTTTGCCTTTGGATGTTGCATCCTGAACCATCATCACGTCCAACAATAAGGTAACACTGAAATCTTGTGTATCAAAGTCATTAGATTTTCTTTAATTAAATTATAAGTAAAAATGATTTGACAAACATTTGCTATAGAAATCTCATGTTTATTTGATAAATGTTATAAAAATGTTTAAACATCACGGCATGCTCTCTGGGGTGCCCAGAAAGCTGTGTATTTGTACTTTGAGTTCTACTCTGCGAATATATATTTTTGGTAAGGAACTTATCTTACCATTAACCATGCCAATATATTTCACATCTGAGTCTGTATTATGATCATCATTGGATTCATCAATCATCTCTTGTATTTATGAGAAAAAACGCTCCCATTATATTTTAATTTTTGTAGATACAGTTTCCGTTGTGGTCCCATCCTACTAATAACTAAAAAAGGTTTCATACTTTGTCCATCCCAGTAAAATTTTGCCATAAGTAAAAATAAAAATTGATCTACAGCTTGTTTGTTTTAACTACTCTCCAGTGCCATTGAGAGTTTGAAGGAAAGAATATACTACCTATTGGTAAATGCATTTCAGAAAGAATGTCACATGAATCCCAACCACGCAATTGTATAGATCACCAAATCAAATTGTTTATGGAGTATCTATCGCAATCAGCTTGCGAATCAATTTCAGTACCATATTTTTACTTACTAGAAAGGGTGGCTGTAGCTCCGATGTGCAACTGGTTGGGGTGGTGTTAAATTCCATTAAGAGCATCACACAACATGGTTCAACTCCATATTGGTTGGAAACTGATGGCTGACAATGTTGTGGAGCTCTTGCTACGTGTCCTCTCCTATTTCCTACTTCCCATCCATAATTTGATCATATCCAGACAAAAGTTAAAAGACTTATTAACCACCTAATGCATGCATGAACATGCAAAATGAAAGATGGGAAGAAACGCTCTATTAATCAAGTATAGGAAAAATACAGTCCCATTTTAACTAGATTTTTAAAGTGCGTACAGAAGATGTGTTTTCTTTTTTCCTTTTTGTTATTATTTATAAAAAAAATAGACATCTGGCAAGTTATTGTAGATGTAGTTGAAATTTTTATTCTTGGACATGTCAGACTCAAACTCCTTTGTTAGATATCACTGACTACTATATAATGGTGTGTTTTCATTATGGTCTGTACTAAAGCACATCACTAGAAATCAAGCAAATCCCAAACTTACGGTAATGGCTATCCTACAGATATTGACATGTTTACATATGTAAAATATGCTATTTAATCGGATAATAGGGGGGAGAGAGAATAGGGAGGACTAAGGGAAATTGAGCACTAAAGGAGGTTCACCTTGGGCTCAGATCTTTCTGAGAGGACTTCTTTCTGTTGTTGTTCTAAATCAATTTATTAGTCTTGTAAGGAGGTTCGATTTTCTTGTCATTTCAAGTTCTATATCTACCACAGACTATGATTTCCTAAAGTTATAACTCATTTTGCCTAACAGGGAGATCCTACAATCTGAAGTGATTAATGGAATGCAGGAGGTGTACAGTAAGGAATTATCATCAAGTCTTAACCAAGATGATGCAGAATCAGAATTGCTATTGGATTTCCTCATCTCCCTAAAAGAGAAGCAGCACATGGAAGCCAACAAATTGGCAGAAAAAATCAGATGCTTGGAATCAGATATAGAAGAGGTGGAGAGGAGACATGACTTGAGAAAATCCTTGCTTCCCTCAAGCTTGCAGAACAACTCCTTTTGTCAAATAGAGAGTGCGTCTCTTCGCAAAGAACCTTCAAGTTCCGAAACATTACCACCAGTACGTACAATTTCTAATGCAAATGAGCAGAGATTGATGAAAAATAGGTGCCTACTAGAAAATGCATACTTTTCCATGAGATCCAAAATTAAACTTCCTGAAACAGACACTGCAATGCACCTAGATAAAGATATACTGAAAAATCGTGACAACTGGTGCGTAGCTCAAAAAGACATGGAACAACATAAGACGACAGATACTTTAGGAGCTTTCTTTGACAGTTTGTGCAAGTATGCACGTTATAGCAAGTTTAAATTGCGGGGCACACTAAGAAATGCTGGTTTTAACAATCCTGCAAATGTAATCTGCTCTATGAGTTTTGATAGGGATGAAGACTATTTTGCTGCTGCTGGGATATCAAGGAAAATAAACATTTTTTATTTCAATGCACTTTTCAATGACTCTGTCAATATCCATTATCCTGTAGTTGAGATGTCAAACAGATCAAGGCTCAGTAGTGTTTGCTGGAATAACTACATCCAGAACTATCTTGCCTCCACAGACTATGATGGTGTAGTCAAGGTTTGTATGGCTTGCATATTAGATACCATTTGAATTTTTGCGTTTATCATTGGCATACATTCTTTTCTGTTTCCATCAGTTACATTTTGGCATATGCAGTTCTGAACCAAAATGTAATGGTTTATCTTCTAGAGTATACTTGAATTTTCACTTGTATGTTTGTGATAAAACTGTTTGAGGATGAGTTTGTTATACTTGTACCTTTAAATGGGGGACAAAGCATTGTGGATGAAATTCATGTGAAAAATTGTACCGAAAATTCATTATTTCATTTTTCATTCCCATTTTTCCAGAATATGTCAAACTAACCCTAAAGGGATGAGTGGGGAACAAAACGCTAATTGTAAGTTCCTTCCCTTAGCTTCACTAATTGGTTTCCATGATCCTCTATGTTGCTTGCAAGATTACTTTTCAATCTGAAGTTTTTAAGGATTATCATGTCCAATGGTTGGCTTTATTTCAGTTCAAGGATGGATTGCGTTTTACCTTCTTTAAGTTTAATATAGTTCCTCAGGAAGCCGACAAAGTAGTACTCTGTACTGAACATGAGTATGTTATGATACACTGGTAGAGTTTGTCTGATAAACTAGATGCTCTTATTGGTCTAGTTCACTAACTGAAATGCATCATGTATACTCACCTATGACTTCCTCCCCCACCAGAAAACTAAAAGTAAAAAGTTGGTATTTTTTTCTTTTAATATGAAAAATACAACCATTTCTTGATGATTGATATGCTCTCATTTCTAGCATTACTAAGTGCATTGCCTAAATGGATGCATTTTCAGCTATGGGATGCCAATACAAGCCAAGGGTTTTCTAGATTCACCGAACATGAAAAGAGGGCCTGGTCTGTTGATTTCTCTCTGGTATGCCCTACTAAATTTGCCAGCGGGAGTGATGATTGTTCTGTGAAGCTGTGGAGTATCAATGAGGTAAGCTGAAGCTCTTTAGCATTCATACACAGGTCATAGGGACACCAGCTTAAGCTGTGAGTGCAGAATTTACTCGACTGATAACAGTAATTAGAGGAACTGGGGTTACCATTGATTGTTGCTTTCTCTCAAGTTGGTCTGGCATTTATGAATCTGAACTTAGCTAAAGCTACAGCAAAAAGTTTCTTCCCTATGATCTATAGCTAATAAAATGTAAAATTGTTTTGCAGAAGAACAGTTTAGGCACAATCAGGAACGTTGCTAATGTCTGTAGCGTCCAGTTCTCTACTCATTCCTCTCATTTGCTGGCCTTTGGATCTGCGGATTACTCTGCTTATTGCTATGATCTTCGCAATCTTAGAAGCCCTTGGTGTGTGTTGACTGGCCATCGTAAAGCTGTAAGCTATGTCAAATTCTTGGACTCTGAAACACTTGTTTCAGCATCAACGGATAATACATTGAAGATCTGGAATCTCAATAAAACCTCTCCTGAGGGTCCATCTACTAGTGCCTGCAGCTTAACCCTGTCAGGCCATACTAATGAGAAGGTTTGGTTTTAAGTTTTGTAGCACTTACTGTAAATTATGTCCATGACATCTTTAAGGATCTGTTTCTGACATCCTTCCAACATTTGTTTTAAAAATAGAAAAGAAAATAAATTCGCTCTTTTTGGGTGTTGGATGGAGCATTCTGATGGTCTGAGTAGTGAAGACAAATTTACAAAATCCAAATTTACCTTCCATAATATTAACTACTTCGGTGAGCTACTCCCGAGGCTGTACATCAGAAAGACCGACTTAAGTTCCACCTTTTTGCTTTTGCAGAATTTTGTGGGTTTATCAGTTGCTGATGGATATATAGCATGTGGTTCAGAAACAAATGAGGTATATGTTACTTTCATTATAACATTTGTTAGACAGGCTTTAAGTTAACTAATACAAAAATGTATTCAATTAGTGTTTTATCCATTTAACTATTCACAAACCTCTGAAATCAGAGTTACACATCCTATTACGTGACTTGTATAAGCCCAAATTTTGCGATGATACCTATATGATCTTGCAGGTTTATGCCTACTATAAATCTCTTCCCATGCCAGTGACTTCTCACAAGTTTGGCACCATTGATCCTATTTCTGGTAAAGAGACAGATGATGACAATGGTCAGTTTGTTTCAAGTGTGTGCTGGAGAGGGAAATCGGACATGGTTGTTGCAGCCAATTCAAGTGGATGTATAAAAGTTCTACAGATGGTTTGAGCGAAAGCTTGCCCTTGATAACTGCCCCGTTAAAGTTTGTACAGCCATACAGTTTTACCCGTTTCACTCAAGCTAATCTCATCAATTTTCTTCTAGTGTATCTAAAATTCTTTTGACGGCATAATTTGATGAAGGGATCGGTTTCAAGCATAATTGAATGGAGAAATAATCACAATGTTAATCCAGACATTCTGATATGGAGTTTGTATAAAAGACTTGTTATACATTAGTCTCGAGGATCAATATGAAAACAAGTAGCAGATTCATTACGTGAAAGATTAACACTTCAAAATTATACTCTATATATATGTACGTAGTGTAAATTTTATGTTTGAGCTAGCAAAATTTGCAGCTTCAATAACGCCTTCAAAGGAAAGCATCTTGAAAATTTCTTTTGTATTTTCGCCGATAGTGCGTGTGTATTTAAAATTAGCATTTCCGTGTCTGAGATGTTATAATTTTTTGTTGTCCTTAATATAACAAGGACGTCTGGCTGCTGTAATTTTGCGCAAGAATTTTGTCAAGTTTTGAGGCTAGTGCCTCACATTAATGTATTTAAAGTAAAATTAAAAAAATGTTGGGTTTCATTAATGTAAAAGACATTAGAGTGAAAGTAAAGCGATGGATTTATATTATAATACTAATGAAGATCCCTTCCCTAAGTGGACGTATAAAATATAAATGCTATGACTTGAATTTCAATTGGTAACAAGGTATTTTTCGTGTTGTGGTATTGTTTTATGGAGTTTAATGGATACGGCATGTTAGTATAAAAATATATATTGTAAATCAATTAGAAAACAATTTTAACGTGATTTTATAGTGATTATTATAATAATAAAAAATTAACAAACTTATTACATATATGATAATTTGGTAATGAAAAAAATGTAAGGAAAAAAAAAACTTTTTGTTAAGTATTTATTTATACAATGTTTGTTTAAAGATGTTATTGATACATTATTGCAATGTGATGTATTCAGACATTGTTTTATAACAAACCCTTATTTTTTTATTAACTAAATCGTTTAAAAAGTAAATACCAATGATCAAAATAATATTTTTAATAAGCTATAATTACTATCTAAATAAGTAACCCATGGGTGTATTTTAGCAAGCTAGACAAATGTTAAAGATTTTGTGTATCTACTTTACTTTTAGGTAACAAGTAGATGGTTGTCGTTGTATGATATTGATGGTCATGGTCATGAACATGTTTAACTATTGTATTTATGTAATTATTTATTCTTAAAAGTTAACCTAACAATGTAGCGAAGAGACGTAATTAGAAATAAGTGAGATATAAATAAATATGTTAGGGGTGTATAGAGACGGGTAACATAAACATAGGAACAAAAACATATGGGCGAGGAAGGAGCGGAATGGCGCCAAAAGAAGAGTGTTATTGGGAATGAAAAAGCGAAAGGGCAAATTGCGAAGAGTCACATGGGTTAGGGTTTCCGAAACATGCGCCCCACAACACAAGGGAATGGCTTTTTCCTCTTTTGTCGCATGCCTTCAACTGACAACTGTAATCTAACCACTTTTTAAACGCCATCCACCCTCTTCCTCTCACCCAAAAACTTTCTTTTTTTCTCTCTCTTGTGCGTTTCAAGTTCCAGAGAGAGAGAAAGAGAAATGCAGGGTCCCAAATATTCCTTCGGATTCGGAGTTGTGGCCATGCTTGCCACTCTCATTCTCGCACTTTTCTTAATGCCCGCCGCTGTTCATGCTCAAATTCAAGCTCCTGCACCTGCCCCTACCAGCGATGGTATTATTATTATTATTATTTTCAACTCTTCTTCTATCTTTTTTCACCAGATCTAATATCATATCCCAATGCCACATCCAATCTTATTAATAATATACATACTATGTACTTCCAAATCCCAATTCCCTTCTTTTCTATATTAATTATCTTTTAAAAAAACGTTTTAAAACTGCAAAGGTTAGGTTTTGATCTTACATTTTTTCTAATTTCTGATGAATTGTCATACCTAAAGTTATTAACTAATGATTCTGCATTATTTATTTTTTATTTATTTTTTTTGTGTTGTGTGTTGTAATCCAGGGCCATCTCTTGATCAAGGGATAGCTTATGTGTTGATGCTGCTGGCTCTTGTACTCACATATATCATCCACACGGCCGAAATCCCCTCCAGCTCCTGAGTTTGTTATCGTGAACAAGTTCGCACATTGAGCAAAAAGGGGGAAATGTAATATGAAATTGATGTTAGAATAGTGGGTGTTGTGTTTATTATTCCAGTTAAGAAAAGTGGTACGTGACAGTGGCTACTGGTTCTGGTGGTGCTTGAAACCAGGTTACAGGCTTTGTCAATGTTTTCCTCTTAGTAATATAATGATTATCTTGCTTTTGGCGTAATGACCACATAGCTGAATAATAATAATAATAATAATAATAATAATAATAATAATAATGTCTCGGTTCTGTTATAATAATTGTTTAAGATTATTTTATATAAAAGAATCATAATAAAATTTTCTATTTTCTATAGAATTTTTTTAATGTTTTCTACTATATCTTTTTTTTTTTTTACTTCATAATAAATGCATATTAGTTGGGATATATAAATTAATTAGATGTCAAGTAAAATGTAAAGATATAATTGATAATATAACAATTAATTTTGAAAATAACAAATAAACAAAAATAAAATTTTACTAAAAATATGACAAATAAAAAAAAACGAATGGAGTAATAAATCTAACCAAGCGTAAAAAGGGAGACATGTTTTTGTTGAGAAGCATGTAATTGTTTCCAATGCAGGGTTATTTTTACAGCTCTAAAATTCTGAAAAATATCGACTACAATCAATTAGCCATCAGGAAAATGGCATATCATCAAGCAAGGATGAAATATTCGTCTTCTCGCATAATGAACAAGGTTATAAAGCCAGAAATCCATCCATCCATTAGAATGCCATAAATTGTATTCGTAGTTATCTAGAAAGGTATACATTGTAACAAGTCATACATTCAATTCCATCTTGCAACGCGGTTCAGTGTTTATGCTGAACAGGGTAAAGTGGAAGTCTTCGGCTATATTAACCTCAGGCCACAATTATGATTAAGGCGGAAAAACTAGCATAACATCCGATGATGAGAGATGCAAGCCATTGATCTCACCTCCCATTCAACTTTACACTTGAAACAATTTTTTTTGTCAAAATCAAAGTTATTGTGGATATTTGAAATTAAACAGCTTCTGTTACATGAAGATATGGTAATTGGTAATTAAGCCTTCTTGTCAATGGATTTAGTTTCCTGTTTTTCCTGTCCAGCTAGGGAAAACTTCTTCACTTTCTGTTGAGGCAGAAAACACAAACCACTCAAAAAACAGAAGAAAACACATCTATGTTTAAACAACTGCATGCATAAACTCAAACATGTCTGGCAAACAAGTTGGAATAGGAAGGCAAAGGCCATAAACAATCAACTCTGAAGCGCATAATTATGTACTGTCCAGAGAGGACAACACCACCAAATATGCATTCCGATTTAAGTGTTTCAAATCATGTTTGGTATGCAGATCAAGTGCAACTCCAATAAAATAAGCCATATATGAACTACTTTCACATTTTGTTTTTGTGGCCATCTCTCTTATAAAAGGAATTTGATTCTTCTAATATGAGCAAGGGAAAAGTATGATAACAAAAAAAATAGTTGATATTCCAACACATCAATGACTTGTTATGCATGTGCAAATTATATTGACTGTGGATTTTCTTATCATCTACTCAAATTACTTTATCATCTAAAATAAGTTGCTTAGTTTATATAAGTAGCTTACTTTACCTATAAAATAAGTTCCTCTAAAATACGGGATACTAATCAAAGCATGATCGAATAAATCGTCAAATAGGCCATCAAGTATTATTCTCTCTCCTAAATAGTCCTTAAAGAAATGAAATTGATAAGTAGCTCCTAAAGTATTGAAAATCCATCAATTTAGTGACATTGATATGTTTTGCCAACATCAAAGGACTAGTTTGAAGGATCTTTCAATACTTAAAGGATTATAAAGCATTATTTCTAACATTTTAGGAACCACTAATATAATTTTATTACTTTAAGAACTACTTAGGAGAGAGGGTAATACTTGAGGGACCGAATTGATGGTTTATTCAAGGGTGATTCATACTTACTTTACCATCTAACATATGCTTTGCCTAGAGGAGTCATATCTAATCAAAGGGTGGGCTCTTGAGGTCATCTAAAGCCAAGCCGGTACTTGATTAAACTTCCATTGCTAAAACAAAAAATCTCCAAATTGTACAATTGACTTCCTTCATCAACACCGATGAAACATTCTTTTAGGTCAGTCGAACAAATTTAAAAGTTTTATGTAACCCATCGGGCATCGGGCATCGGGCATCGGCATAAAGAGAAGGGATATAAAACAATGATTAAAAGAAATTGGATTCCTCTTAACGCAGTTATTTGAGAAGGAATGAAAAGTGTACCTTGGCGAGGACGCAGTCGCGCAAGGAATGCAAGAGGCGAAGGCATTTGTCTTCATCGAACGGAGATTGTGTGACGCAATTGAGAAGAGCGAGAGATTCTTCAGCACACACCGGTTTCGCTCCACTTTCTCCCATCTTCGCTTCGCTAATTTAGGGTTTTACGGACAAACCTTGATTTTCTTAAGCCCAATTCCTGTTTCCGAAGGCGCCAATTGGTTTTTCGCTAAACCACGCCTATTTAATATTTTATTACTCCTCTCTGCTCTCCGCTATTCATTTTTTATTTTTATTTTTATTTTCAAAAGTTTATGTATAAAATAATTAACACCCAAAATAAAATAATAAATGAGTCGTTTTTATTCTATAAACCATAGTTTTAAAAATCGGGCCGATCATCGAACCGGTTAAGGTACTGAGTTAGTGGATCAAAGGTTGAATCGGTGGGTCACTAGTTGAACCGCATGACTCGATTTTTATTAAAAAATATTTATATTAAATATATTTTATACTTATAAATTTTAATAAATCAATATCTTATTTTAAATTTCAATTTTTCTATCTTATTTAAAATTATTTTTATTTTTATTTTGTAAAAAATACATAAAAAAATTACATGTTAAACGGTATATTAATACAAATTAAAAATATAAATAATATGTACATATATAATATGCTTGCAATTAATATCACAAAATAATATATGTAATATTTACATAGATATTGCATTATTAAATATATAATTTAAAATTAATAATATACTATAAAAGTTATTTAAGTTGTATATATTGCAAACAAATATATTAGAACAAGTAGTCATTGTTATATTTAATAAGACTCCTTGCTTTTTCATTAAGAGATTCAATTTTCATTATTATTTTTGTGATTTATGGTCCCTTAAAAAAATTTAAAAAAAAAAAAAAAAAAAAGTGGTTGAACCGGTTTGACCCACCGGTTCACCGGTTGAACCGGAAAATTGACCGGTTCAATCCGGTTTGAAACGGGTCGACTGCATAACCGATCCAACTTCAGATTCGGACCGGCTGGACCACCGGTTCCCGGTCCAACCGGTCCGACCGGCCGGGTCGGTCCGGGTTTTAAAATACTGCTATAAACAACTTTTAAAAATTGGATTTGAAGTAGAAATAAAAGTAAGCTAGTATTTTAGTTATATGTATATATATAATATGAAAAATATACATAATATTTATAAAATAAATGTGCAAAAGAAATAAGTCAATTCAATTTATTACAAATTTGATCTAAACTAGAAAAAATTTAGCTCATTTCATTATAGGAAAAAATTAACTCAATTTATTTATAACTTGACTTATCACAAGTTAATTTATGATATGTCAGATGAATTTATTTAATTAATTTTTTTTCTTAAATATTAGTGTGATTATATATTTGTATTATTGATTGAATTTGACATATATTAATTATGATTATAAGTTTTTGTGTCAATTTCATATTCTATGTTACTAAGATATTTTGAAGGGAGTTAGAATACACAAAATTTTAGGTTTGAATTATAGTGCTGTCATTTTAATTATGATGGATTAAAAAAAATGTTATTGTGATATTATAAGTTAGTTACAATTGATGTCTATTTTTCTTTTCAATTTTTATATCTTGTAATAAACATATATAATTATAGGGTATAGAAATAATAGAAGTGTTTTTTTTAATCAAGTTTAATAAATTTTTTTTATATTTTTTATTTTATTATTTTAAATAAATTTATCATTCAATTTTTTATAACTTCACTTAAAAGTGAGTTAGATTAACTCATTGTTTGAACAACTCATGATGAGTCGAATCATAACTCATCTAGATAAAATTATTGTAAATAATTAAACAAACTATTTATATTAACATCCAAAAAATTATTAGGGTCAACCTAATAGTTAAGATTGTTGGTATTATACATTGTTTAAATCTCAATTCAACCATAATGTTGATGTAATAAAAGGCTAAAATACCAATAAATAAATAAATATAAAATTTTATTAGGCATCTTAGAAACTATATTTTTTTAATTTCTCAATTTTAAGATTAATATTTTTTTATTCATGGAAATTATAAAAATAGCACAAACATAAACTCATATACATATTATCCAAACTTTGAACATTAATTAAATCAACTCTAGTGATTCATTTCGATAGATAGCATGACCGTGTCTTTTAAATCAATGAAAAAAAAGTGTTTACTCGATTTCTATATAACAAAAGCCTAAAAAATGTCACTCTGATATGAGGTGTCATTTTGGTTGTTTAGTACTTTGGAGTAACAGAAAAGACTCCCAACCTTTGATTCTATATAACATGTATCATTCTCATCTGACAACTAGAACCTGAGCCATTCTTATTTGTAATCAATAATTTGACTTGGTCAAGAAAAACGAGTTTCCTAATTAATAAGCGCACAAGCGGGAGGAGAAATGCCAATTTTAGTGAGCACTAGTAATAGAATATCTTCAATTCAATTTCAATCCCACTTTAGAGTTCAATGAGATATTATCACAAATAAACAAACAAAGGCAACACTGACACAGTGACACAAATTGAGAAACAAATGGCCGTGAAAATGCACCTTAGTTTCTTCATCTTCGCCACGATTGGCAGCATGCAATTGGTATCTGTGAGTTCCACAACTCATATTGTGGGAGACAATTTGGGTTGGAATGTGCCCAACAGCCCAACGTTCTACAAGGAATGGGCCCAAAACAGAACCTTCGTTGTTGGTGACGTTCTTCGTATGTGACATATATAATTTTCATAACTTGTTTTTCTTCAATTTCAATACATATGTTAATACTTAATATTATTCACATTGATTCAGGCACAATAGTTTAACTAAATATATATATTGGGCTCTCATATTATATTTGTAACACACCTAAAACAATTAGCACAGGAACAAGTCATTAATTTGTTGCTTGGTGTACATGGTTTGCAGTTTTCCAGTACAACCCGGGACTGAACACGGTGATTCTTGTAGAAAAAAGCGATTACGACAGTTGCACAACCAAAAAAATCCTCCACACGTATTTCAGAGGGAACTCGAGTGTTACTTTGGATAGGGTTGGGGACTATTATTTCTTCTCTTCCGTTGGAATGCATTGCGAGTTTGGCCAAAAGCTCCATGTTGATGTTGTTGCTCCATCAACCATATCCTCTCATTAATTTCATCTCTTCATTTCCTCCAACTTTAACTGCACCCTACAATAATAGTCTTCACCTCTTGTATTTATAGGATTGTGGCCACAAATTAATGTTTCCATTTGTTTATGTTCTGTATATTTGCTACAATGCTTTTTCACCATTTTCGTTGCACTTATTTAAAAATATACATGTTATAACTTGTTAATTAATTTGTTTATGGTGTTATGTTTTAATCATACTTATGTACTATTTGATGTGTGCAAAGAATTAGCATAAATATGCGTATGTCTAATTTGATCGCATACGAAAATAGTAAGTGTTGATAAAGAAATATGTTTGATTTCACATTAGTTTTAGTTAGATGTGCATTAATAAAAAAGCAACAATTAATTGATTTTACATTAATTTTAATGCAATTCTTACTTAAAAGTGGATTATATAGAAACTAAACATGCAAAAAGTATTTGATGTGATATTATCATTTTATTACTTATATATTAATGATATCACATTACACACTTTATCAATATTTACTATTATTTTTCTTATTTATATTTTCTTATCACATCATGTTACTTATATTTATTCTTTTTATTTAAATAGTACTTAAGTTCGACCCTTAACGAAAAAATATTAATTATACTTATATTGCAAACTTATATCTCTTTCTCTTTTTAGATTTGACTAAATACCAATCTTTTTCCTAAAATAAATAATAAAAAAATAATAATCAGTGAATATCTCTCCGGTTTAATTTAAACACTTTAATAATAACTATCATATTTTTTCTATATCACTTATTATTGAAAAAAATTTGTCTTATATCGATTAAAGATTAAGCAATAAATAGTATATAAGTGAAAAACAATTCTCACCTTACAAGCTAGTTTTATAGAATTGAGTTAAGTTTAAATCTACTATTCTAAAATTTATTATATTTATTTATTTTTCTCATTCTCTCACCAGGTGTCATTGAGTACGTAAAGGTATCCACTAATTTTTTCTCCAATAAAAATGTAAAATTAAATTAATTCAAAATGACCCAATAGTAATGATTTGTTTATAATTTCACAACAGTTAAATCAGTCAGCCCATGAACTCGCTAATTGTATTTGCTTACTCTAGAACTCTCTGAATCAGCTAACAAAACATTTGGGCCTCCTCTTTATCACTTTAGTAATGGGCCTAACTACATTAGTTTAAAACTAAACAGTTGAAATAATCATTACTTAATTATAAATAGTGACTTACTAATTAGTGTGGATAACTATTACAAAATTTTGAAGGCCACACACCAAGCTGCCACGCAGGTTCTAGCCATGCAAAAATAATAAACTAAGTAAATGTAAATAAACTATAGATAAATGGTAAAATGGTTAACTATGGTTAGTTAATTAGTTTACTTTAATATTTTCAAACTTCTTCTATTCCTCAAAATGCAGTCCGGGTTTGGTCACCACTTTTGCAGCATCTCACGGTCCAAACATTTCAAATCAAGATCAAGCTTTGATCATCCTTCTAGTAAATTTTTTTCTTTCCAAATATTGGTCATCGATTCTAGCAGAGTCGGAGCTTAATGGAGACTGAGAATAGTCCCAATTTTTTTTAATATAAAGAAATATATTAAAAGTTATTATATTTTTAGATGGTATTAATAATCTTTTATAATATTCTTTAAAAATATTAATATTACATTTATAGTTCTTGGTTTCAATGATATCAGTTTTATAGCTGATTTAAAAACACTTTTTTATGCATTCGTGTTTAATATAAAAATACATTTAATATTTTTTTACGAATTTACATATGAATTTTCGATTTTTTGTATACAATGTTAATAACAAATAAGGATATAAAAATTAATATTATTAAGTAGTTAAAATCAGTCATAAAAAATAATATAATAAAAATTGTTACATATAACTCACATATTATAACTTTAGCTATTATCACCCCTCCATATTTTTTTTTCAAGATTGGCGAGCGAATGTATTGAAGCCCAATTCCTTCCCCTCATGGCTGGGACATGATGAAAGATCAAGTTCACATTCAGTTTTTTTTAATTATCTTTTTCTTTTTTTGGTTTCGATACTACTAACCCATGAATTTATTTTTTTTCTTTGATTAGTAACCCATGAAAAGTTAATTCCGTATAAACACGTGTATACTTACCAGTTTAACGAACAATGTAGTTGAACTGTACAACGCTACAACTACAGTGTACCTTCATTTTCATTGTTAGAACATTTTTACCCGGGACTTGTTTAAAAGTTCCTAAATAGCCATGTACCTGTTAGGCATACTCGAAAATCATGTGACTCGAAAAGATTTTCCGATCTGATATAGCTAAAACATGTTTTTCATCTATTCTAGTGATGTTAAAGAGATTTAAACTTTTGAAAGGTACTTTGCAATCGATGTTTATTAGTGAAGAATGAAACTCTTATAGAGAAGATGATGTGGGTAAAGGCTCAAGTTGCAAAAGAATTTATTTTGAATGATGTGTTGTGGGACAAAATCTTAATTTCATTGAGCTTATTTATAATATGCTTAGGGCTTGTGACACAGATAATCCCACACTTCATTTGGTCTATGAGATGTGGGATACTATGATAGAAAAAGTAAAGTTATACATCAACATTTTATGAAGTTTTTTATTTTATACTAATTGATAGGTAAATTAAGAATTGCACCCCTTTCCACTACATGGCTCACTCTTTGAATCTTAGGTAAAATTAGCCTATCAAATATTTAAATTTTTTTATATAAAAAATAGATAGTTACTATATTTTTTATCTATTAACTTTCTTATTTATTCACAGGTACTATAATGATGAATGACTTTAAGAGGCTCCTGTTGAGATTCACAAGCTGTTGAATTAATTTCTAACTGTTTTGATGATTACAAAAAGGAAGCATGAATATCATGAAATGTTTTAAGTGAAAAGTTGTAATAGTGTAGTTCATATGTAGTAGTTGCTTGATTATTTTGTCTTATGCATGTTTATGTTAGTTTATGTTTTATGCATGC